AAATATTTATTGGGTGTGTGCTGTGTGCTAGGCCCTAGGGATAATGCCTGCGGCCCCGTGGCCTCAGAGAGGGGTCGTGCCCCAGGAGCTGGTGGGATCTTGCCCAGAGCAAGAGCAGGGGCCGCTCTGGCTGGTGGGGATGTAGCCAGTAGCTTCCATATGCTCTTTACCGCCTCTCAGAGCCCCAAGAGCTCTGCTGTCTGGGGAGGAACCTCTGTCCTGTGGGCTCCCTGTATGTTGTGCTTAGAAAACTGAGTCCCTGTGCGAAAATGAGTGCCCTGCTCAGAGTCACAAAGCAGGTGATTAGCAGAGCCAGGACTGGAGTCCAGACCGGAGCCTCCTCCTCTATCCCCCTGCACCTCAGTCCCACCTCCACAGACATGCAGCATAGCTGTGCCCATCGCCAAGCTGGGACCCTGAGACATCACCTAGTCCAGCACCGGCAAACTGTGGTGCTGCACTGTCCCATCCAGCACTCGTGACAGATGTCACTAATCAAGCGTTCCTTCCAGGAGCGGCCTCAGAGGGCTTCTCAGCAGAATGTGCCATCCAGTCGGTCCCTGTAATCGATCACAGTCACATGTGAGACCACAGTTCTCAGACTTTCCTACGTTGGCCCAGGAGAGGAAAGTAAGGCTCAGTAAGGATATGCACATGCCAAGGGTCATACACCAGTAGCTCATGAAGCCAGCACTGGTGGACACTGGTATCCTGAAAGCCCGAACCCCTTTCGGCACTTCAGGTCCTCACTGCACACAAAAGAAGCGTAGTTGCCAGTAACTGAGCATTAAGCATATTGGATGCACTGTCTCATTTATCTTCCCATATTGATGGGAAATAGGTGGAGAGAAGGGAAGTGGCCAGAAACCAACAATAATTATAATCCTCATCGCTGTTACCACGTACCGAGGGCCAACCACATACTAACCCTTTCACACGCATTATCCCTCCTCATTCTTGAAACAGGTCCTATAGCTCATCCCATTTCACAGATAAGGAGCCTGAGGCTTCAGTGAGATACCCCCTCATTCAGCTTATGCAGCCAACATCGGGCAGAGAGAGACTGGATGCAAACCCAACCCCAGCGCCAGAACCAGGCGCTGATTGACACCCTCAGAGCCCCATGGGCACCCTTTGATTTCCATTTGGGTGCTGGGATCCAGGCACAGGGGTGTTTGCCCCATTTTACAGATGGAGCAACTGAGGCCTGGGACTCACACGAGGTCTAAGGTCACCACATCACACTTCACTCCCTGGGCTGTGTTCCTGGGGTGGCAAAAACTCTCCCCACAAGATTTCAGCACGGCCCTCAGCTCTGTTCTCACGCCTTGATGAGGAGGGGCCTCAGATGTTTGCAGAACTCAGTGCCAGGCAGCCAGGGAAGGGGGACTGATGACTGGTCCCAGGACATCCAGCAAGACTCTGCTTGCCTGGGTTCTCCGGGTCCCAGTCCAGGCTTGAGGACCTAGGCTGCCATCCCCTCCCCGCTCTGTACTCCAGTGGCAGAACCAGGGCCAATGTAAGGGACGTGAGCGCCCCAGCTCATCTCACCCTTTGCCCAGGCCACACTCGCTTCAACAGCAAGCCTGCCCGGTCCTTGCTGAGTTTCAGGTCGGGGAGCAAAGGAGACAGACGCAGGTGCCTCTGAGCTCTCTGCTAGTATATCTGTTGCCACGTGGTCATCCACATGAGTTTCCTGTGCCAGTGCCAGGTTGACAGGGGCCAATGCACCAGGCATTACAACCAACTCAAACAGCAGAGGCTGAAGGATAAACAGGATATTCAAGCCCAAGAACTATTTTGCCCCAACAGATGGCTTCACTGTGACCTTGGCCAGAAGACCTTCTCTGGGGACCCAAATGCTTGGTTCCCATCTTTGTAAGGCCCCAGCCAGCCACATGCCTGCTCTGAATCTCACCTTCCTCGACTGGAAAATGGGGCTCAAACCCTCCTCACGGGGTTGTCACGAGGACTGATGGGGAAAGCGTGCCTACAGCGGCAAGCCTAGTGCCAGGGTCCCACCGAGCTGCAGGGTTCGGAGGGTCATGCCTGGGCTGAGCCGAGGCTCTGGAGGCTGGGGTCATGGTCACAGCTCATAGAAATCAGGCAGAAGGCACCTGAGTCATCGAGTCCAGTTATTCCCGTTTCTGGCCGATAGCACTCGGGCAGCTGGACACAGGCCGCTCTTGGGCTCCCAGAGCACTTGACCCAAATGATTAGGGATGGGGCTCAAGCACTTGCATTTTAAACAAGCTTCCTAGGCAATTCTGCATAATCTTTTTTCTTAAGGCTATTGCCCACTGTAGAAAATTCCAACAAAACTAAAAGATATGCAATAAAAGTGGAAAATAAGTGAAGTTCAAGGTCACCGTGTGGCCTTGGATGATTCCTTCCCCTTCTCTGGGCCACAGACTCCCTATACTTCCAAGCAAGGAGGTTAAATGTTGAGCTCTAACTGCTCCTCTGGCTTTGGTGCCTGTGGTCGTTCAAGTGCAGTGTGTGACTCCGAGCAGCCATCAGAGGGAGGAGGCCGAAGTGAGTGTTCAAAAGCATGATGCAGGAATGCTGTGCATTTCGGTGGCAGGAATTCAATGCATAAGGGCTTAAATGAAAAGTGGGGATATATGTATTTGAACTGAAAACTCTGGGGGTACATGTGACTTCAGCCACAACTAGATCCAGGCACTCACCTGATATATATTCTCTCATTTCCTTAGTATGGACTTCATTCTCCGGTGGGCTTTGCCAGATAGTTGTATCTAAAGTCCCTAAGGAAAAATTAACAGAACCAGACAGCCTGGGGAGTCTCACATCCACCTTTGCGGGGAGTGAGCCCTTTCATTCAGCACAGTAGCAACGTGGTCTCTACGATTCTGCAAAAAGTTCTCTTCATTTAGGCAGCGAGATGCATCTTCAGACGAGTCTGGCTTGTGCTATCTTGCACATATGCACAAAAGCACATGTGTGTGGATGTGCACATACACTACATATGTGTAAGTGTGTTTGTGCTTGTTCACAAGTCGTACACACACCGTGGAAGGAGGACCTGGAGGACCACAGGATGAAGGGGGCATGGTCTCTCCCCACTTTGGGAGATTTATCCTGGTGTGGGTAAGACATGGGGGAGTCCCCCTAGTGCTTTAGCAGACAGGGCCCTTGAAGTTGTGGCAAAGTCCTATCCTCTCATGAGCTAGGGCCAGAGATGCTGCAGAAGTGTGAGTGACCCCGAGAATATGGCTCCTTAGGACCTTGGAACTTCATCCGAAAGGACAGGGTCCTGCCTTTGTGCTACCCCCCTAGACCCACAGCCAGGAGACCAGTTTGTGTCACCTTAGAGCTTGACCGTGCGACGCGCCAATACCAGCGGGGTACCTGGCTCTGCCCCGAGTGTGGTCATGCTGAGAGGCGGCACCTAGCGTGAGCCACCGGGGCTCCGGGAGCCCACAGCCAGGTGGAGTTGGGGTCCTGGGAGGTGGGGGGGGGTGAGAAAAGGAAGGAGACAGGAAGCCTGAGGGGGAAATACCCACTCAGGAGAGCTAGACTCAGGTAGAAAGAAAACCTGAGGGGAAGAAGCATCAAAATGTGCAACAATGGTCTTTGAACAATAGACCAAGGGAACTTAGAATTGAGGCTCACGGTCAGGACAAGCCTCACAGGAGCTTAGTTGTCACCTAGTCCAGTTCCAGAGCGTCTCTGGCAGTGGGGACATTCACCTTCGCAGGTAGTGGTTGCTTTTATAAGATGCCCTGGAGAGAGGTTTGGAGCATTTTAAAGACAGGCCAGAGTCTTCAAACACCACACATGGGGAAAGTCTCAGCACAGGGTGGTAACGATTTGCTGAGGCTAGAGAACAAGTTTTAAAAATCAAATTGTGGCGATTTGCTGTGAAAGGAGCCATCAAGGGGCTGAGGTCAGGGATAATGGGGAGGGAGGGGACACCTCAGGGGCGCAGTCAGGGAGGTTCTGAAGCGGTGACAGCAAGAGCTGGGGACAACTGGACAGAAGAGTCTCGGGCAGAGAGAGTGGCAAATGCAAAGGCCCAGGAAGAGGTCAGAATGTTCTGGAAGAGAAGGAAGACAGGATAGGGCCCTGGAGGGACAGGTGGGAGAGGAGTGTGGAGAGAGAGTGGCGCGGTGGCACAGGGCCCTGTAGGGCATGGTAAGAATTTGGGTTTAAGCTGAGTGGCGCACCTCTGGCTGCTGCACCGACAACAGAGTGAGGGGGCAGGTGTGCCGGGGGTGACGGACTGTGGGGTTTGTCTCCTGACACTGGCTGTGCAACCTCAGGCCAGGTGCTTAACCTTTCTGGGCTTCACTGCTGTCCACACATGGGGGTAACGTGAGGTGGATTTTGTTCACTCTCAGGAGGAAGTCCACTTGATAGAAGAGGCAGCCTTAAGAGGTAATGAACTCCCATGACTGCAAACATTCGCACAGAGGCTGGCTCCACCGCGAAACACGTTGTAGACAGCACTCGGAGCCAGAGGATTGGGTGGGAGGATGGGAGGACCTTTGTGGTTACTGACCCTGACCTTCTGTGGACCACAGTTCTGGCCCCATCTCTGTCCCTATCTTGCTGGACAGTCTCAGGCTGGGTACTTCCCCTCTCTGAGCATCAGTTTCCAAATGATGCGAGAAATAGGCTGGATGATCACTACAGGTTCTCCCACCAGCACATTCTCTAGTCTGTCCATTCTTAGTCTTCACCCCAACCCCCAATCACAATGGCTGCCACCGTCTTGGCAGCTGGAGGCACGGTGAGAACCTGGTCTTAGTTTTGGCAGGAAGTCCTCCCCACATCCATCCATTCCAATTCAAGCATGCAGGTGGCCTTTGGGTTGGAGCCTCTCTGCTCATTCTGGGCAGGAGTTATTTTCTTTGGAGTCTCCTTGCATGACTGCGGAACCAAGGCTTGCTTCCATGGACAGTCTCCCATCCTGTGGCCACCAATATAAGGGCCAGCACCTCCCAGAAGAATCCCAGGAGGCCGTGCAGGGAAACAAGGATTCGAGAGCATCCTTCTCCAAACCTGTGAGTTGTGGGCTTCCCCCTGAGGTCACCCCACAAGGTGGTCTTCAGTAGACTTTGGGAGCAAGAGTCAGAGGACTGGGGCTGCCTGGGTTAGCTAATATTTTGAACATAGCAAATTATGAGGTAGATAGAGATTATATTCAGAGAAGTGTCAAATTGGTGAGCAATGCAGGGTCATGACACAGTGTCCATGTATTTGTTCATACTTTTATTCAGCACATAGTTATTCATTGAACTGCACTGGGTGCAGGCTTTTTACTGGAAGCTGAGGATTCAACAGCGAAATGTCACAATTCTTCCTCTAAAGAGTTTACAGCCTGGTGAGAGAGGAGGACAGGTCATCCCGTCATTGGTACTCAGGACACTGAGCAGAGAATGAAGGCAGGAAAGTGGTGAGGTGAAACCCCCTAACCTAGACTCTAGCGAGGGGCCTCAAGTAGGCTTCATAGAGGACATGTTGTCTTACTGAAGCCAGAGAGTCTATAGGACGTGACTTAGGTAAAAAATGCAAAGAGGAGGACAAATGTCCCAAGCAAAGAAGCCAGCAGGTGGAAAAAACCTTTTTGTAAAAAGATTGACTTGTAGTCAAGAGTGACTTCAAATTGCAGCCTGTCCACTCACTAGCTGTGCGTCTCTGGGCAAGCTGGTTTAGCTTCCTGACCTGGGCTGCCCATCTGTAAAGCGGGAGATAAGCACATCTATCTTAAAGGGATAATAAATGTAAGAATGGTAGTGTTCCCTAAAAATTCCTTTTCCTACTGGGTAATTCTTACTCCTGTTTCTTTTATGAATGTCCAGGTATCGACAAGATGTTTCAGCTTTGGAAGCTTGTTCTCTTGTGTGGCCTGCTCACTGGGACCTCAGCATCGCTTTTGGGGGGACTTGGCAATGACCTGCAAGATGTTATTGATAAAGGACGTGAGCTCATTGAGGATACAGTTGAAAGTGAGTCAATAAGATTGATGATAGGTAGCACCCAGGACCCTGCCTCCTAAACACTAGGCTGCATTACCAGGGGCTGCCACCAGGGACTGCCCTTTCTGGGTAGTTCCCTGGGTAAGGTGGTTGGTTATTCACTTCCTGGCTCATTCGCTTACTATTTTTCTGTAAGCGAGCAATGCTTGAATGAATATCCTTTTACATATTATATCATGGCAAACTTTTTCCAACATATGAATAGGGTAAGTCCCTAAAAGTGAGATTTCGAAAGTTCAAGGATATGCACATTTTAAATTCTAGTAGATGTTGACAAATAATCCTCTATGTTAACATTGTCTCCAACAGTTGGTGGGAGTACCTTTCTCTGTGCTCCCTCGACAGCACTGGTATGGACAACTTAAATGTTTGCCAGTCTCATAGGTGAAAGACTGTAATTCACTTCACTTTACATTTCTCTAATTATAGGAGAATCCACTCACATTTTCATATTTGTAGCTTTTTACATATTTTAATGTAAATATTTTGTTTATATTCTTAGCGTATTATTTCTGTTGGGTTGTTTACTTTTCTTACTGATTTGTATTAATTCGTTAGAAGTTAACTCTACCTAGCCTAAGTAGTTGTATCCTGGCTTTTATAGTTAATTGAATCTCTTTTTTATTCTGATTGCTTAAAAGAACTTGGCTTTCTCTTCCTCTTCTAAAAAAATTAACAGCACATAGTTAAACATTTTTATACAAGTTTAGTAACAACTGTAAATGGCTACCTTTCAAATATTGCCAGGCAACCTTAAAGGTACAGAAGAGATTCAACCTTCAACTTCACCGCTGAGAAAACGAAGCTCAGAAACAGAAGTGTCTGGGTTCAGGTCACCTAATGAGTTATAAGACCAGACATAGTTCTATTTAAATTGGCATCCTCGGTTTGCATCATTATAACCAAGTAGATACTGTTCATTGCACAGCCGAGTTGTAGTGCTATGACTACATATCTTCTCCAGTACAGTCTTTTGTTTTTCCTTGAGTTAGTAATTGCCTTGCTGTTTCTCACGTAAGTTGTTTTACACACATATCCTTAACTCTTTTCATATGCACCATTCTATACCTTCATGTCATTTATTCTACCTAGTCCCTCTTTCCACTGGAGACCTCCCATTAGGACATTGATCTCCTGCCCCCATGTGAATTCTTGTTGTCTGGGCCTGCTTCAGAGTTCTCTTCCTCTGACTACATTTTGTCACTTTCATGGGTTGGAGTCACATTTTTTCTTGATTCTAGATTTTCCATATTTTAGTTTACTCTCTCACTTTCACCTAGTTTTTGAAACTTGTGTGGACATCTCACTTAGAGCAATAGACCCTCCAAGTCACTACTAGAAGTTATACAGTCATTATGGATTGCCTGGCTAGTTGATTGATTTCTTTGTTGATGAATAATGGGTATATATCAGCATGGAGACTGTGTGGAGGGAAGAGGGGCTCTGCAGCTATGTGTCTTTAGGCACATTTCTTAAACTTTTCATCCTTCATTTCCTCATCTGCAAAATGCAGACAATATCAAAACCTACCTCACTGAGTTGTTAGGAAGATTAAAGGAAATGACATTGGCAAACAGTCTTATCTAGTACCTGATGCATAGTAGGTACTTCATAAATGGTACATGACACTAAATAGTGATTCTTTTTGTCAGCTGTGGCTGGGAACCTGAAGGAAGACCTTACCAGGCTTCAGAACTCCAAGATTGGGCAACTGTCTGGGCAGGTGTTACAGAAAGCTGATCGTCTGTTGGATAATGCTATTTCTAAAGTCTTGTCCATTGGGAAGAACATTTTGGGGTAAGTAGGTGCTTCATGGTGGAGATCTTTGCCCCCCGTATCTTTTGGGGAGGGGATAAGTTTAAGATTAAAGACAGAAAGGTAACAAAAGTTGTCTGCCCACAGAACCAAGGCGGTCTGAAGCCAGGTCCACTAGAGCTTGTGTAAATTATAGGCAGGGCCAGAGTCATCCTTGGCATCCCGTGGGTTTCGGCTTCCACATTCTGTGACTTCAGGGTCAGGATGAAGGTTCTCTTCACCCACACCGCCACCTGTTTGCTGATACCTGTATTCCCTGTTCAGGGACTAAGACTTTCTTCTCCACATATTGCTGAGAATAAAATTTTGAATCCCCTCAGAAGAAATATAACTGAAATCTTCACACCCACTGGTTTCACGCTTAAGAGTTTTGGAGTAAACAGTTGTGGGTTCAAATCCTGGCTCTGGCAGTTATTCTTCCTTGGAATCTTGGGAGAAATCACAACTGTCTGATCCTCCATATGCCATGCTATGACATGGAGACAATCAAACCTCTGAAGGGGGCTATGGTAAAGACCAAAGTAAGCAAAGCTGATGAGGCCTAACTGCCCGGCATGATCCTGGTACAGAGATGTGCTTGGCAAATGGCTGTCATGAGGAATGACAAGAGTGAATTCTGGTTTTTGCCCAGGTTGAAAGTCAGTAATGTCAACCTCCTGAATATCAAAACTGAACTGACTCCTGATGGTGAACTTGGCCTGACCCTCCCCATCAGCGCTGATGTCGAACTGAACCTGTGAGTATGCATTAGAATCTGGGATTGGGGGAGGCAGTGCAGGATAGCCAGTGGATCTCCAAACAGGAAGCAGACATTTTTCCATGCTGCTGTGTGGCCCAAACTATAAATAAGGGCAGTTTCTACTTTGGCCACAACTAAATCTTTTTAAAAAGAATCCTCCATTAAATATATTTCTGGAATCATAACATTTACTTAATAGTAAAATTTGCAAAAATGGAGAAGACATTTATAACTTTTTGGCAAAATTTTCTCTAGCATTATTTTGTCTCTCAAGATTCTCCTTAAATAACAGTAACCATTACAGATAAATGCATATAGTGATGTATAGTATATAATAAAGGGCATGTGTGAAATATTTAATTTTATACTTTATTTTGACCAAATTTATTGTGGTTACATTGGTCGATAAAATTATGTTTTAAGAGAACAGTTCTAAAATACATCACCTGCACATTGCATTGTGTGTTCACCATCCAAAGTCTAGTTGCCTGCCATCACCATTTATCTCCCTGCAACTGCCCTTCTCTTTGGTAATCACCATACTGTTGTCTGTGTCCATGAGTTTTTTGGGGTTTTGTTTGTTTGTTTGTTTGTTTTTTGCTTAACTCCTTTACCTATTTCACTCATCTCCCAGCCTCCATCCTCTCTGACAGCTGTCAGTTGGTTCTCTGTATCCATGAGTCTGTTTCTATTTTGTTTATTTTGTTCATTAGATTCCACATATAAGTGAAATAATATGGTTAAAAACTATCATTTTAAAGTATATTAATTCTTAAAAAATAGAGAGATAAGAGAATGAGCACCTGTGGAAAGATACTTGTAAATTAAGTACAGTATCATTTCATCATACTTTAGCTATGAGAACTTGGGTTAGTTACTTAACCTCTCTATACCAATGCTTCCACATTTTGAAATGGAGATAACAATGGTGGTTTCCCTTCATGGTCTTGTTGTGATAATTAGATGGTTTGATCCAGGCAAAATACCTTTTATAAGTACCTAACATAATTTCTGCTCAATAAATGTTAACTATTATTACTATTTTAGTTATTAGTGTGATTCTATAGGAAAATTTCATATGAACCAAACCTATGTGGCCAAGAAGAAGCATCTAATATAAATATGTTAATCCCATAAAGAATATGGACAAGGTTGACAATTATCCATAGATATCCTGGATAATGTCCACACAGGTGGAAGAGCCGGAGCAGGCAATGTGGAAGGTCTTCTAGACCTCTCTTCACAGTGAATCTTATTTCCTGCAGGCTTTTCATTGGACAGACAGTTGACCTGAAGCTTTCCATAGACATCCTGTCTGGTGCCAAAATTGAAACTGAGGATGGCAAATCCAAAGTGGTCATGACAAAATGCAACAGCGACCCAGCCAGCATCTCACTGAGCTTGTTGGACAGGTAAGTCCCATCTGTCTCAGTAGAGCAGGGCTCTCACACAAGTCAAGGACCCCTAATTTCAGCCCTATTCCTATACCTGGGAGGGGATACAATGTGGTGAAAACAGGTTTAGGCTCTGTAGTCAGACAGACCTTGCTTCAAATACCAGCTCTGTTACTAACTTATAACCTTGCAATAACCTCTCTGAGCCTCAGTTTTCTCATCTGTAAACTGAAGTTAACAATAATACCTACTCATAGGCTGCTGACCTAACCAAATGATAAAATACAAGTGTTTAGCATAGAGCCTGGCGTATACTAAGCTCTCAATAATATTAATAATATCCATGCTGATTTTGTGTCTCTTTGTTGTGTCCATTATGACTGAGAAAGGAGTGTTGACATCTCCAACTATAATTGTGAATTTGCTTGTTTCACTCTTCAGCTCTATCAGAATTTTGCTTCTTGCTTTTTGAAGCTCTGTTGTTAGGGGCATGCATATTTAGGATTGCTATATCTTCTTGAAGAAATACCCCTTCACTGTTATGCCATGCTGTCAATCACCAACATCAGTTATATTTACCTTCTTGCCTCTGGTTGGAAGAGGAGTAAATGCCCACCATGGGATCTAATTTCAGATTGTCCCCAAATTGTTCTCCACCCACTGGAAAGTTCCTGAAACAGTATCTTGAAAACATAATCCTCTCCATTTAAATCATTGATCCCTGTTAATCCACAAAAATCTACATCTTAAACCGTGTGATTGAAAGGGCCGGTTTGGCCCCAGGAAGAGGGTTGAGGGAGAAAGGGCCACCCTGGCCGTGGCTGGGAGAGGAGAGATGCTCTGGAAGCTGAGGACTGGGGCAGGTTGGCCTTGGCAGGAAATAAGGCTGGGCCATCAGCAGAGGTCAATCCACCCTACTCCCATCAGGGTTGCCTGAAGACCCCCCTGAAACCAAAGAAAGGTTCCAAGGCCTGCTGTTGGTTGGAAAGGCCTGAGCCCCCCTGGGCGCGTTTTGCCCCAGGGAATTCATCCTGCCGCTCTGGGTCTCAATGTCCATATCTGTACAAGAGGGCATTCCATTCTGCTGCTCTAAGTCCTCTCAGGGCGTTTCCTTCCACTTTGGATGGAATCCCAAGCCCTCCCCGTGGTCATCTAGGCTCTGCGTGATCTGTGCCGTCCTCATCTCACTTCACTCCCCCCTTGTTCACCCTGGGAAGACACACTGGCCTTTGCTCTGTGCCCCGACTAGCCCTTTCGCACCTCCAGACTGGCGCAGAGCTGTCCTAGCTACTAGAACACCTTTGCTCCCCTCCACTTCAACACCCTTCTCTTCCTTCAGGCTCTAACATGAGGTTCCTCTCATTCTCTCTCTCAAAAGTGTCTACTCTCACCCTTCAGAGTTTTTGTCACAAGTTGTCATTACACCTTTAATTGTATGTTTACTTCTTTCATTCTTTCATGTTCAAATGGACTGAGTATCTGCTATGTCCTGGCAGGCAGTATTCTGAGCTCTGGAGACTTTGTTGGTGAGAACAGACAAGGACCTGTTTTTGTGGCGCTTATTGTCCTGAGGGAAAGACAGACAGGCCAGCATTCAGCCCATCTATAAAGAGCTCTCAAGCAATGTGTCAGATGGCAGAAGCCCTAGGCCAAGCAGCACACTTATCAGGGAACTGTGATGCAAAGCTCTTCCTTCTGGGAGCAGTAAGAAAGGGCTGTCCTGAGGAGGTGACAGTTGTGTTTTGAGCAGAAGGTGGGAAGGAACCAGCCTTAGCAAGACTTGTTTAATGTTTAGGTACCAGGTCAGCAGCTACTTGTACTTAGCTCATCTTCATGTCCCCAGCCTAGCTTGGTCCCTGGCATGTAGTTCCTGCTCTGTAATATTTGTTGAATGAACTGGGTTGCGATGAGACTCTCATGAAGTATTGGGATGAGCTGCTGCTCAGACAGGGGGTTATAAGTGATGATTCTTCTGGATAGAGGGAGACTCTGTCTGTGCTTAGAAAAACACCTCAGCTTGGGCTGGTGTGGCTCAGTGGATTGAGCTCCTGCCTGTGAACTGAGAGAGATCGCTGGTTGGATTCCCAGCCAGGGCTCATGCCTGGGTCTCTGGCATGTGAGAAGCAACTGATTGATGTATGTCCCCCACACCGATATTCCTCTCCCTCTCTATCTCTCTCCCTTTCCTTCTCTCTAAAAATAAATATATGAAAAAAATTTTAATGCATCTCAGTGGTCCTGGGTTTGTTCACAGGCCTTCAAGGTGCTCCGCCATCCCCCACCCCCTCCCCAGCCCCCGCTGCTTGGCAGCTCTGCCCATTTGCCCATGCTTCATTAGTTTCCTCTCTTTTCCAGACGCAATAAAGTGGCCAACAGACTCGTAGACGCTGTGTCCACCTTCCTGAGCGAGACGTTGTCCACCATAGTGGAGACGCAGGTGAGTCTTCCACTCCTGGGTGCCCAGGGCCAGGTCTGGCAGGGGCAATGTGACATTTACAGGCCTGGCTGCACTGTCCAGGTCCCTTTCCTTTTGAGGTGCAAACTTCTCCTAGGGCCGTCAGCTGGAACCTGCCCCTCCTGGCTCAGCCTGGAGGGATGGGGGAAGGGGAGCGGAGGCCTGGCATTAGCTGAAATCACTGAGTCCCAAACTTGAACTATCTGTCATATTTGTATACTGCCCATGTATTTTTTAGCTAATGTTTCCCTTTAATCAACACAATTTTACTTACTTAAATTTATTTGAACACGCTTATTTTTAAAAGGAAACTTCATATCCTTGGTATAAATAGAAATTAATATCACTTACAATAACATTAATCTTAAAAATAAACACAGATCTATAGAATAGATTTTTTATTTACACATCATCCAAAACCATATGTGCCTGGTGCGGGATTCCTGTGTATCCTACAAAACCATGGGCGCCGTGTGCCCACAGTTCCAAAGACTCTGAATCAGTCATTCCGGAAGGGCGCCAGGAACCTGGGTGTATGAAAGGAAAATCCTCCCGGTGTCTTGGTGATTCACAGAACTGGAGTCTCACTACTCAGCATGTGTCCCTCTGGCCAGCTGCACAGGCCTCGCCTGGTAGCTTGTTAGAAATTCAGACTCTCAGGCCCCACCCCAGACCTGTGGAAATGAAATTTGCATTTCAACCAGATCCCCAGGGAACTGTGAGGAAATCATGAGAAACACTGCCCTACGGTTCCCAGGTCCCACCTGACGCTAAAACTCCAGGTTCCCGAGAGGGCAGGAGCCTGCGATGTTAACGCTCTAGATTCTTAAGGTTCTAGGACTTAAGGTTGCAGGTTTTAGGACTCTAGCATTCTAAGGTTCTCACATTTTGGACTTCTAACTTTCTAGTGTTCCAGAATCCTAAGGGTCAAAGGTCCTAAGATCCCATGTGAAAAGCTTCTCTGTGGGTGGCCGGCAGTTTGTGCCCAATTGATAATGGACCTGTCCTTTTTCCTACTCCTCCCTCTTCTCTCCCTCTCTCTCCCCTCTCAGGTGTGCCCATTGGTCCAGCTCTTTCTCGACACACTGGGTGTGGATTTTATTCAGAATACCATTGGTAAGTCATAGCCTGGGGAAGTGAAGGCATGCCCTACACAGCCTTCCCAGGGTGGACATGCAGCTCTGTGCCCGCCCCACAGGCTGGTCTGGGCAGGGGACCCTGGAGAAGAAGGACCTAACATCTTGAGCAAGTTGGGAGGGTGTAGCTGGGTGGGGGGTCCTTGCAGAATGGATGGGGTTCTCTGGGCCTCTGAGAGCTTCCTACTGTCATCCCTCAGTTAACTCACAGAAGCTGCCTGGCAGAATGATGTGAGAAAGAAGGTAGGCCAGATCTGAGTTCAAACCCTGGCTCTGCTACTTAGCAACCGTAGGACCTAGGTCCAGTGGTTCTGCCTCTTTGAGCCTCAGTTGCTCCCGAGTAAAACAAGACTATAAAAATTGTGGGGCTGGTGAGTGGATCAAAGGAAAAAGCACAAAGAGCCTAATATCAAGTGAGCATCGCTAAAAGACATCTTTCTTCCTCTCTTCCTTCTTATGAGGAGCTGGGGCCTCTCCAGCCACTGGAGGCTTCCTCTAGCCTTCAGGTCTCCAGGCGTGGCCGGGTTGCTGGGGATGCTGGAGCAAAGGAAATGGGTTAAGTGAATGTGTCAGGGTTCTGGAGCTGGCCCTTCTATAAAAATAACCACAGGTTTAGTTCCTTGGGCAATCACTCTGTGCTCTGAATGCACCATCTCATTGGATACTCACAATAGCCCTGTGGGATAGGTACCGTTATTGTACCCATTTTACAGATGGACAAACTGAGGCTCAGGGAGGTGGAGAGACATGCCTGAGGTCTATGGCTGTCAGGCTGACCCACTGGAGAGTGGTAGCCATTGGGGTCTGGTTTCTAGTTGGTGGAGACTGAGGCCTGCTATTGATTTTGTTCTTCCAGATGGACTTAAGCAGCAATCATCTGCCTAAAGAGGGCACATGAGGCGGACTGCTGTGATGACCCCCACTGGTGAGGCACCAGGCTTTGTGCCCCACACTAAGAAAGGATGAGGCTCCTCCTCAGGGGAATATGGTGAAGCCAAAGCAAAGCTTGGGTGCTCTTGTTTTGCTTGCAGCAAACTGAGTTCTGATCTTGCTGATCTTGGTCTTGGACTAAGCCCTGACCCTAGCCCCAAGCTGAGCCCTGATCCTGGTCTCACTCTAAACCCCAAGCCTTAATCACATACCTATACTGAGGCCGGATCCTAGCCACAGACTGGGCTTTGGCCCCAGTTATTGGTTAAGCTCTGATATTAGTCACGGATGGGGCCCTGACGCTGACCTCAGACTGGTCCATGATCCTGATTATGTACAGAGCCCCGAACCCAGACTCCAGTCCTGGGCTTCAATCAGTCTTTTTTATTTTTTAATTGGTTTTCAAAGAGAGAGAGAATATCACTGATCTGTTGTTCCACTTATTTATACATTCATTGATGGTTTCTTGTTATGTTCCCTGACTGGGAATTGAACCAGCAACCTTCGTGTAATGGGACAATGCTCTAACCATATGAGCTACACAACCAGGGCTCTGATTAGTCTTTTTGCCATTGTTCCCAAGGTGAGGAGAGGGGAGAGTGAGGGACTAAGGATGTTTCAACATCAGGTGCCAAAGAAAGACCCCAAACCTTGGGTAGCAGTCCTGTTGTCACCAAGGCCTTAGACCTCACAGGGAATTGTGGGGAAGAACTTGGGCAGCAGTTGTGTGGTGAATGCAGGTGCGCATAAGGGCCCCTTTGCTTTGTTGTCAGTGGCCTGACTCCCTGCGGTTTCCTTCCAGGTTACTTTGCCGTTGTTTGGCCCTGTTTCCTCACAGCATCTCCCTCTAGGAAGATGCTGCCACCATCACCATCTGACTGGAGTGGAAGCCTGAGTCCAGCCAGAAGGACTCCTCTCAGCTACTCCTTGGCTTCACAGCTGACACAGAAATCTCTATGCTTGTCACCCTCCACTCTCAGCAATTAAAGCTACTTCTGCATCCTCCTGTGTGACCCGTTGCCTTTCTTCCATCTGGGATTTGGCGAGGGAAGTGCAGCTAGGGCAGCAGAGACTGGGATCCAGAACTGGAAGAGACATCTGTGACTATCCAGCCCACCTTCTTGCTTTACAAATAGGGACACTGGGCACAGAGGGGCAGTCTGTGGCCATGCTAGAACCCTTGATTCGTCTACTCATACATTTAGTGGGGATATAGGGAGCACCTACCCTGGACCAGACAGGCAGTGGGAACAGGACAGTCACATTCTTGGGACAGCCCCATCTGGTGCCTTCCTCCATTCCTGCACCCCCAGGGACTCTGAGAGGACTTGTGGAGGATCGGGGGGTACCTGGTCTGGCTGGATGCAGGAGTACCGGGCAGAGTGACGACACAAAGTCAGAGGTCTGGGCCACATCCCAGCCTGCCCCTCCATGTCTTTTGAGGGGCCAGAGTTCTGCTGGGGTTGAGATCTGGTCAAGCACTACCTGAGAGCACCCATGGTCTCCAGTTCCCAGGGCTCATCCCTCTCTCCCATTGCTGGCCCTAAGAGCCTGTGCACTCACCTGGTGGGCTGCACAAAAAAGCCCCACCTGCTTGGTGAGGCCAAGGGCCCTGGTGGTGTTCAATTGTCCCATGGAGACCAGCTCCCCTCTCTGCCCAAGGCCCCTCCACCCACACCCCAGCACTCAGCTCTCCCCAGGTTGCACTAGGCCATGGTCAAGACAGTTTATCACTGCTTGTGCTAAGACAACCACCGTCACAGAGGGCTGCCTTTGCTGGAACACGTGTCCTCATTAATTCTTCACAACATCCTTATACCAAACACCATTGTTGTCCCCGTTTGACAGGTGAGGAAACTGAGGTTCATAGGAGCAAAGTGATTTATCAAGGCCACCCAGTGAGCAAGTGGCAGGGCCAGAATTTGAACCCACATTACGAGAGCCTTTGTTCAGAGAGGTGACATCCAAGCTCCCTGGCACTTTGGCCACCTCTCGCCAGATCTCAGCAGGCCCTGCCTTCCTCTGCCCAGGACAGAGGAGGTCTTCTTGAGGCTGTTCTTCCTTCAACACATGCAGGCCCTCAGTTTCATGCCGCCCGTTCCCCAGTCACATTCGCTTGTGCGGACATGCCACATGGGCCACATGCCAGCATTAGCCCCGTGTCAAGATCCCAGCTGCCTCTTTTTTCCAGGAGGGCATCTGACTTTCCCCCCAAGAGACCCAAAGAATTTTTGCCCCCTTTGCCCAGCGACCATCTCATTATGTTGCACAACTTTGTGAAGGAGGGACTGCTTTTGTCCCCACAGGAAACTCAGGTTCAGAGATGCCAAGGCCACACAGAGACCTGTACTCAGCTGCTAATTCTCCCAGGGGCCTCCGGAGAAGGCTGACTCACGGGGTCAAGTCACTTCAGGGGGCCCTTGGACCCTTGGGGTGGCCTGAAGGGGTCTGGGCAGAGCACTCCTGTGGGAACCGCAGCTCAGGTTCGCCAGAAGGGCTGCTGGCTACTGGTCAAGGCCAAGAAGCCAGGCACATCTGAGCACAAGTCAGCCCCGGCCACTTTCCAGTCCCGAAATCTTGAGCAAGCTACTTCACCTCTCAGAATCTCAGTTTTCTCACCTGCCAAATGGAATTGACAGTAAAACCTCCCTCTTTAGGCTCTTATGAGGATTAAAGGAGCCAATGAGTGGAAAGTGTGTAACCAGGGCCTGACACTAGTGAGCACAAGAGGAGTCTCAGCCTCTGCATGCTGAATTACTGTTATGACTTCTACCCTAGTGTTTGTTGGCTGACTGTCGAAAGCCCAGATTTGGTAGAGACCTGTGGTCCTGGAACAAAATCTTGGATTTTCAGCTTGTCTTTATGGAAAGACTGTGCCCCAGTGATCATTCTTCTCTCCCTGCCTCAGGCTTTAGTGGTGTGCATGGCCCCCAGCCAGAAACTACATTTCCCAGTCTCCCTTGCAGCAAGTGGGGCCAGTCCAGCCAGTGGCAAGTAAGCAGAAGTGATGCTACAAATTCCACTTTGTTCTTTAAAAGAAAAGGGGGGTTCCTCCACGTCCTCGAGGCTTTCTTTCCCCCTTTCTTTCCAATTAGACATGGAAACAAGTGGAGCAAATGCCTGAGACCGGAGGTGGAAGCTGGGCATTGAGAATGGCACCTCTGCTTCAGCAACCCCTGACCACTCACCTCTCGGCTCTCTGGCAGAAAGGAATGAACTAACTCACTTGAGCCATTGTGTTTTGGGCACTTCTTGTTAAGGCTGTTTTGTCCCTGTTCTACCTGACTCATTTTGCCAATGGCATGCTGTGTGACATCAGGCTGCTTCCTCCTTACCACCTTCATCTTGTGGGGCCACAGGAAACGATCATCAGCTTGCAACTGTTTCCAAAGTCCTAAAAAATAGGCGTTTGGCTTCCTATCAATTTTAGTTCATCTACTCCTGCCTCTAAAAGGTCTGACCACATCTGTGTCCTGGTCACCTGCACTGGGGTGCTGTTTGACTCAGACACGAGGGAAGTTCCAGACACCATCAGCACTCCTTTCTGCCGCGGTGAGTCTCTGCCTCCCCCAGACTCACCACCACTGTGATGACGTCATTCATATGGTGCCCGACACACAGGGCCAAGGTAGCCAGGCAGGATCCAAAGGAAGCAGAAGGGGCGTGCTGCTGCACCAGACCCCTCATTCCTACCTAAAGCACTCATCATCGGCGGTTGAGTATTGGGATTCAACATGGCCTGGTGCTTGCCCAACTCCCGCAGGGTCTATACTAAGTCTGTGTAGGACTGCCATTTGGTCACAGTGTCTGTCATGTCTCCTGCATCCACCCAGACAGTATGAATCGCAGCCATGACCCACTCCAACAGAGAATGCGATCCCTGCCCCCTTCTGAGCCTCGGGCTATTCTGCAGCCGTTGGCATAGAGAGGGGTAAGTCGTGCTGGAAGCTAACTTTTCCATCTCATTATCAGTGCACATGATGCTATCCACCCCTAAATCCCAAAGGTGTAAGAGCCACGCTGCTAAGGGGTCCCTGGGCCGCTGGTGAAACTGATTACCAAGATCAACTAGTTCAGACTGCATGTACAAATGATAGGTTTTGTGCTCAACCATCTGGGCAAGGCCAGCCAGATTGCCCCCAGATGCCCTTGGCTGCTGCAACTTCATCTTTTGTATCACTACTGAGCAAGTGGGTGGGGAACCTAGTCCTTCCCACCCCACCCAAACTGTTCACTGCAATAACGGAGGGGCATCACCACTGCTCAGCGGTTCAGAAGTCTTCCTCCAGGGCATGAATCAAGCCTCCAGGACTTCCTCTCTTCCTGGGAGTTCATGTAACTTCGCTGCTTTGCAAAGTGGTCTCTGTCTCAGCTCACAAAGCTGAAAAAAACACCCAGACCCTCACACCTCACCCCCAGCTGCTGCCTGGGCACTTGGCTTCCCAGGGTCTCCCCTACCACCTACAGGGCCTTCTCTACCGTGTCAGGTGCAACACTATCAGGCCAATTCTGGGACGGGGGGGGTCCCAAGCTGCCAGGAATCTTGCCACCTGATACCACATACCAGTGATCAGCCACCCTTCTCCAGACCCCGCACCAAGGGGACTGGCATCTCCTCCGTATTCATACCGTACTGTGACAAATCCTGCTGGCACCAATTGTTTTGTGACCAGTCAAGGCTGGGCAGGTTCACACCGGATTTGGGTAGACGGAAGAAAATTTGTGGAGCCGCTGGGATGTCTGACATGCTTTTATTCTGGGGTGGGGTGATCCATGAGCTCAGCAAGCTGTGAGTCACGTGGTGGGAAGTCTCAACTCCCTTATATACTAAGTGCACACAAAGCTGGCAAGGAGCCAAGGCTGACCTTCAGTTACATAACAGAGCTTCATTCTACATTGGCGGGCCCCCACTCAAGGTTATATGAACACTGCTAAGTTACATTTGTGTGGACATCCAGGTGAGGGAACCTGACTGACCCCATTTTCCCTACAGGCAGTAACCAATTTGAGTCTATGACAAGCCTTTGTTCACCCTGTTCCATACACGTGGGGCGTCTTTCCTTCTGTGTCTCCAGCGAGCTAAGCCCTCCTCAGCTGTAACACTGCTATCAGTCACCTCCCAGCTAAGTGGGGGCCTCTCCTCAATGCTTCCCCGCAAAAGACACAGTGCTTCCGACTTATAGGTCTCACCAAGCTCCTTTGTCATTGCTGTCCAACACAGAGAGAGCGCTCAGAAAGTGTCAGTTCTCATCATCGTGGTTTTCAGCTTTCGTACTTATCTCTCTGTGAGATGCTTGAGGGCAGGTGCCCTCCTCTGCTCAGCAGCCAGTGCCCAGAAAAAACCAGATACTGTACAGGTACTAACCAATGTTGAGTGAATGAATGAGTGGATGAATGAACGAAGCATTTCTTGATTGTACAGACACCATCTCCAGGAGAGCCGAGTAGGTGGGTGAATAGGAAAATTCTAGCAACCCAGGATGGGGGCCTATAAAAGACTTGTCATTATTTTCTATTAACTAGGGCCAGATACCTGGCACTCGAGACAGAAGTGATAAGCTATGGACCAAATGCATGACTCCTAGGTGAGTAAAGCTAGGACATAGAGTGGGTAGAGTAGGTACAGCCAAGGCCACTCAATTCCACTGGTGACTAATAGGACCAATGAAGGGGAAAGGGGACAAAGTGGAGAAGTGAGGAAACATTTTCCCACAGTGAGCCTGGCACTGCCCAGACTAGCTCCTCACCCACTCAATCCAGACCTCAAAGAGAGGTGAGGGCTTCCTGGAGGTGGTGGCACCCCATGAAGAAGGTCTCAGGGAAGAGGAGGACACTTTGAGGGGATGAGGGGACTGACAGACCTAGGTAGGCCTAGGAGGAATGGAAAATCACCAGGTGGGAAAACTGT